GGGAGCGAGAGAGGGAGCGAGAGAGGGAGCGAGAGAGGGAGCGAGAGAGGGAGCGAGAGAGGGAGCGAGAGAGGGAGCGAGAGAGGGAGAGAGGGAGAGAGAGAGGGAGAAAGAGGGGGAGAGAGAGAGAGAGAGAGGAAGGCTCGCCGAGAGGAGAAAAAGCGAGAACAACGCGGTATCGAAAGACTTGCTCGTGATTGACGGTAGATTTGACGCGAGACTCTCAAAAAGATTGCCGTGACTCTCGAGACATCGTTGCTGTACCGAAGTTAGAGCCTACCGACATGATACCGGTCGTTTTGTGTCGTCTTATCGCCGACGCGGCATATAGAGGGCGAAAGCATTTCGTGGGATATCTCCGGTGCGAGTGACTGATCTCCGATACGGAACCTGCAGTAGCGAAGCGGAGGCGATCACCGACAGGCGAGGAGACCGACCCGGAGTGGAGACGAGGAAGAGTCCGACCTATTGTAAAACCTCCCATTTGTTTGTATAGTATTGTCGTGATGCTGTCGTACCGAGGATGCCGCATGTAGAGTGGTCGCGCGAGAATTATACTAGAGCTCTGAATCGGGACTAGAATAATTAGCTAACGTCTTGACGCGGACGAGATATCGAATAGCGCGCTGAAAGTGCATGTAACGAGCTGTTTCGAACGGCCTGAGGTGTAGAGCGGCTGGTTCGTAATGCCGTCGACTGCTACCTTCAGTTGCGCGAGTATGGTGCGCGCTCTCCTATCCAGGAGCCTCGTCAGATGGTGTGAGGAAAGTGCGAGAGTGCTCTTGTGCTTAAGAGCACGGCGTGGCCCAGTGAAGGACACGCTTGGAATTGCCCTGCGTCTCCGCGCTGGGAATGAATCCCCCTTTCGGAGGATGATAGTCACTCAGAGGATAGAGACGCTAGTCCGTCTCCTTTCGTGAGTGTCGGAACCGGTCCGAATGAGATTCGGCTCTGTTTGGCGAGGAAACAACAGAGGCTGAATCCGGAATGATAGTCAGACGAGCTGAAGTCGCCTTTCTCAGTCGCGCACGCGGCACCTGCGATGTTTTGTAAGAACTCCGCAAGTGCGACACTGAATCGCGGACGCGGCTGTGTTGAAGCCTGACGGTGACGTGCAGGTCACTGTAAACGTGCGTTAATAGTGCCGTGTGCGTGACGATTGCTAAGTCTCGTCGCGGTGAGAAGCGAAGAGTCCTCGCGTGTGGAGTCGTGGATGCGACGATCGGTTAAGTCGTGAGTAGACTTGTACCGAACCTGGTTTGCGTACGTGCTGCAGTCCTGGCAGCGTAGCAATAGCGAGCTTGGCTCGCGTGAGCTGCGTTCCTGACAGCGACTAAGTCCGATTCGGACGTGAAGGCGAGTTTGACTCGCGTGTATAGGCTGCGTCCCTGGCAGCTGCTAAGTCCTAGGCGGACGTAAATGCGAGCGTGGCTCGCGTGTATATGCTGCGTCCCTGGCAGCGA